GTTTTGTTCAGGTCAAATAAGACTTGAGGTCTGTGAAGTCGAGGTGGAGATCTGTGAGTGAGTGAGAAAACTACTGGGAGCAAGGCGGTAAATAATAAAAGTACCCGGCCGTGCCTCAACAGGGCAGGAGAGTCCCTGGCCTGGGACTGTGCAGGGAGCAGCTGGTGCCGGGAGCAGCAGGACTGAGCAGAGCAGGGAGGTTTTTGTATGGGGATGTAGCACTGTGAGAGGGTAACTATCACTCTGCTCACAGTAATAGTCTCCGGCATCACCAGCTTCCACCCGGCTGATTGTAAAAGTGTAGTCAGTTCCAGACCCACTGCCACTGAACCGGTTGGGGACCCCAGAGAGGCGGTTGTTTGTGCCGTAGAGAAGAAGTTTAGGAGCCTGCCCTGGTTTCTGCTGGTGCAAGTTCATTCTGCTGCTGCTGATACTGGAGCTGGTTTTGCACTGGATGGTGACTGTGTCTCCTGGGGACACTGCCAGGGACTCTGGGGTCTGAGTCACAACAATGTCCCCGGTCGAGCCTGCAATAATCACAATAATAAAACATCACACACATCAAGCAAACTGAGGATCAGGAAAGCAAAATATCACTGCCATTTTTTTAAATTTTTTTTTTATCTGACACTGCTTTTAGAAACCTGAGTTAAAATTAAATTAAAAACAGAAGAATCCCCTCCATGAACTCAAGAAACATCCTGTGCTGAATTATTCTGTTCTCCCCATGTTAACCATCCTGAATGACCCTGGGATGTTAAACCTATTATCCTGACTGTCCATGTACCAGGTTTATAATGTCTCAATCTCAGGGGCAAACCAATAGTCTGAGCTGCTCCCTCCCCTGCTGCTGTCTTTACCCTGCGCCCAGAGCACGAGGAGCCAGAGGAGCTGAGTCTGCCACAGCATCTTGCAGCTTCTGCACCGACTGACACGGAGCTGAGAGACACCAAGCGTTAAACCGGCCCCTTTACAGCTGCTCCCCAGAGCAGGGCGCAGGCACTGGGGCGGCTGTATGCAAAGCAGCAGCGATACAGGTGCCTCCCTGGGGCCGGGACAGAGACTGCAGAGAAGGGAAGGGACAGCCCTGCTCTGGGACTGCTGCATCATTTCCTGGCCCAAAGAGCAGCACGTCCACATGGGGCAGCACAGGTCTCCTCTGTGCCGTGGGCCTGATTCTGGACTCTCCTTGCACTGGTCACACTGGCGTAGCCCCATCACTTCTGGAGCAGGCGGGCAGTGCTGATCCACCCTGGGGTTAGACACACTCAGGACCAGCTTGCCCTCAGCCACCCCTCCCCTGCTCTCTGCCCTTTTCTCCTGTTGCTCAGGCTGACGGCTCTCTCCTGCTCTCCCCTCACCCTGTGCCTGCCTCAATGCCCCCATCCAAGCCTGCTCCCTGCGCCCCTCACCCCCACACAGCCCTCAGAAGAAGCCCTGCTTGGTTGCTCAGTGCTGTGGCACTGCCCAGGGAAGCAGTGCCCGGGGCTGTAGTGTGAACAGGCTCAATGAAGTCCTCTCACAGCTCCCCTTACGGCCTGGCTCCCTTGCAAACTCTGCCGCAGGCTGTGCGTGGGGACTGCGGGTGAGGACAGGGCACGGGGGAGTGTGGGGGGCTGCTGAGTATCCCCTCCCCATCCTCCCTGTACGGGCTGTTGGCATCTGCTGCCCCTCCTTCCTCTGCCCTGTTCCCAGCTGTGATGATGTCTGCTCTTCCCGCTGCACAGACCCTGCTCTCGGCCCTGTCCTGGCCCATCTGCTCATTCCTGTCACCTCCTCTCTTGCTTCTGGTGTCTCTGATCACACAGGCACCGCTGACGCCTCGCGCCCCTGGTTTCTCTGGCAGTGCCTAGTCCTGGGGCTCCTCCCGAACTCACTCCGGGGTCCTTCAGCTCCTGCTGGGCCAGGCACCATCCTCCCCTCGCACACTGTCTAGCAGCCTCTGCGCCTCCATGTCCAGGCCGTCTCCCCACGGGGTGTGCTTGTGCAGGACAGAGGTTTCTCTGGCAGTGCCTAGTCCTGGGGCTCCTCCCGAACTCACTCCGGGGTCCTTCAGCTCCTGCTGGGCCAGGCACCATCCTCCCCTCGCACACTGTCTAGCAGCCTCTGCGCCTCCATGTCCAGGCCGTCTCCCCACGGGGTGTGCTTGTGCAGGACAGAAACTGTGGGAATGCAGTCCTGAGCGGGGCCTCTGGGGTTTAGCTGCTGCCACCCAGTGCTCATGTTGGTGTCATTGAGACACGGCCTGACCTCACTCTGCGCAGCTCATCACCTCTGCAACAGGACTCGTGTCACAGGACACACAGTGATGGCCCCCGGGGACCTGGCATGAGAGAGCCTCCTGGGCTGGAGCAGCAAGGGCGCGGGCCCGTCCCCTGACTCCAGTCAGTGAGAGGAATGGTTGATGCAGAAATTACCTGAGACTTTCTGCCCTTCACAGCTCATATCATAGACAGCTGATTGAAAACCCCAATTTTCCTACAAATTTTGGGGGGGGGTTTGAGGGGGAGGGAAATCTTTTGAGGAAAATCCTGTGGAAATTAGAAAAGATGATGCTCAGTGTTGAACAGGGTTTTGCATTTTCTCCAGCCGTGGAAACCAACCCTGGTGGATCTAGATTTCTTCCCACTGCACCTCAATTGTCTGTGGGCCCCAAGAATTCAGAGTCCATAACAAAGCAGCATGGTGCAGTCCCAGGACAGGCCTGATCATTGGCATCAAGAAAAGAGGCACCCCAGCAGATGTCACACATGTCTTTTCAATGAAGACTGTCAAGGGCTGTCCCTGGTTCCCCATCAGGCCTGCTGCTCGTGCACAGCTCCCGCTGTCAGTAGCAGAAACACCAGGGAGCCCCCAGTGCCTCACAGTCCTTTGCAAGTCTCCCCAGACCCTGCGGGGCAGCGATGGTAGAAACAAGGAGGGATGGCAGTGCCCAATACAGCAATGCCTGGCCCATCCCAGCTTCTGTCCTGCCATGCACCTGACAGTGCAGATACTCGGTTTTACTTGCAGCCTCCCTCTCCATCACAGCAGCTTGCACGGGAGGGTCTCGTTGTGCCGTGCAGGACACCAGCACTCAGCCCAGGGTCCCAGTCACGATGAGCTTTCTCAGCAGGGAAGTGCCACAAGGAGAGGAGTCGAGGCCAAGGGGACTCTAGAGTAAGGGGGTGATGGCACTCCCCATGGAGGGAAAGGCTGGCTCTGCTCCTCCTCTCATGGTTACCTTTCTCCTTTTGACAAGAGATGACATTAGCAGAAATGCAGCGACAGTCATGGCAGCAAGGACTGGAAGCCGAAGCTCCCCACTCCCAGGACAAGACAGTGCCCTCCTCCCCAGTGGCCACAGCCACAGTCCCTCTCAAAGCCTCGGTTTCCCTCAGAGAAGGGGAACATTATTCTCAGAGAAAGGGAAGTTTTTTTCTTCATCCATAACCTAGAAGATGGCACAGATGCACCTCAGCAAGTCTGCAGATGGCACCAAGCTTGGGAGAGTAGTAGATATGCTGGAGAGTAGGGCTAGGATTCAGAGAGACCGTGACAAGTTGGAGGACTGGATGAAAAGAAATGCCATGAGGTTCAGTAAGGACAAATGCAAAGCCCTGCCCTTAGGCTGGGACAATCCCATGGACCGCTACAGGCTGGGGATCCACTGGTTAAGCAGCAGCTCTGCAGAAAAGGACCTGGGCGTTACAGAGCACAAGAAGCTGAATATGAGCCAAGGGTGTGCTCCTGTTATGAAGCAGGCTAACAGCATCCTGGGCTGCATTAGTACAAGTGTTGCCAGCAGATCGGTGGAAGTGCTGAGGCCACAGCTGGACTCCTAAGTCTGGTCTTGGTCCCCTGGTTCACACAGGATGTGGGGAGGCTGGAGAGAGTCCAGCAGAGGGTAATCTCTGCTTTAAATGCCCTTGGTCCTGGGGGCTGCCATGATCCAGATCCTGTTTTGAACTTCCCCGCTCAAGCTGTTTAACAAGTCTGAGCACTAGCATATGTATGTGGTGCACACGCTGGGCTGCCCCGACTGAACACTGCATGTTTAGGAGATGTTTCCACTACAGCCCTGAATGTGCAGGGGTTGCAGACATCAGGTGTCACAAACCAGAGCTGGGGATCAATGCCACTGAGCCGATCATCTGTGCTCACGGGTGATGTGCAGACTGAGCATGTCACCTGTTGTCATGGACCCAGTAGAGCTGGGTCATTGAGCACTTGGATGGGCCTTTGCCCACAAAAGTGGTTGTGGTGCTGGAAGGGGCATCAATGGTTTATCAGGCAGCACTTTACCCTCCAGCTCTGCTCTCAGTCCGTGAATGCCTGTGCTATTGTAGAGCTGCCCAACTTCCCATACAGCCACCTTGCTCGGCAGCCCAACCTCCTCCAC